TCGACTATATAAAAAAAATACCCCAATTTGAGCTATGGTAGTTACTAAATAAGCTTAAAATTTACTAAAGGACACATCTTATGGGATTTTGGTGCCCGGTCAAATTTGATGAAATTTTGGTATGTTGTTCTTCTTGAGGTCCTGATCAAATGTGTCTATGGGCGCAAATGAATCCTATGATTAGTTTCTGAGATACAGGGTGTTTAAAAAGTTAAATAGTCGATTTAAATTATGTGCTAACCAAACTATTTTTTGGGGTTTCGCAAAAATGATTAAGGCGAAACAATACTTTTACATAAATAAATGCTTCCACACATAATACATTTAAACGATTTTGTATCACACGTTTTTATTTCAATTTTTTTGACTCAATCATTTTCGGAATAGGTACTTTTAAAATGATTTAATGTAATAAATAGTTTTGAAATATTTTTCTATTTCTATTTATACAAAATTACGAATATTTGAAAGATCGTTGCAGTTTTCAGCTATATTTAACTTTGCCAAATTCAGGGTGTCTATACTCGAAAGTTGACTGCATATGAAAAACTTTATTATTTAGGATTTCTCACAAAATGTTCTTGATGAAATGTTCTGCTTTATAAAAAAAACTTCTGCTTTATTCCAGTCAGCCATGCTGTCAAATATTTCATTCGATTATTTGGTTGCTAGGTGATGATGGCAACAGTCAGAATATTGACGGTTACTGATATTTTGTACATTCGATTAATTATTTCTTCTTTGTTGAATTATTTATTTTTATTTACATATTCTCATTTATTTATTTCAACGGATATACCATTTACATATACTAATATATAATTATAATAAAATAAGTGCTCTTAACGGTATTTGAAATGGCATTTCGTCTCAGATTCAATTGTTATGTTTGTGAATCTGTCAATGCTCCTCGACAAGTAATTCCTTTTGTCCAAAATGAGGAGCTTAGAAACACGGCGGTTAAACGGAGGCAACAACTGCAACTTCTGGACGAGGACCCAAGTGATAACTCTCGAATATGTTTCACGTGCTATCAAAGTATTTTAGAAGAGCTTCAAGTTTATGCTGAAGATCCCGATCCAACTGTTTTCAAGGTACTTTTTAACCGCCGTCATAACTGTATTGTTTATAATCAAGAGGTTTTCCAGCGTATTTCTTTAAAAGCCAGAGTTGACGTATTTTTATTCCTGATGGTTCCAGAATATGTCCCGGTCATTTGACTATTGATCAACTGGTGGTAGCTCCCTTGCAAAATGGCTTCAGGGGTATCACGAGGCCTTATACACTTGAAGGTTCCGAATTAAATGCTTTCATTTCTCAACTTCGGAACAACGTAAATGATTTTAACAAGTTTGATGATGAAAGTAATTATACAGATGATGAGATGAAATCTTTGACCTCATCAACAAAAGAACAGTTCAACGCTGTTTTGGATAGTTGTAATAATATGGTCATATATAACAGGTTAAGAGAAATAACAAAAAAAGATCTTATATGTTTTTTATGTGAACTTAAAACAAGGTTTATCAGATAACTTTTTAACTGCTATGTTTTCCTATCCAAGTAGACAAACAGCGAGTCTCGTCATTGCAAAAGTTACAAGTTCTCTAGCAACCTTTGTAAATCAAAACTTAGGATATGATCATATGTCACGCGAACGATTCATTAGAGAACACGTGACCCCTTTCGCTAATCAATTATATAATCCGGAGCCTCAGCTACCAAAAGCTATTGCTTTTATTGACGGAACGTACTTGAAAATTCAAAAGAGTAGAAACTTTCAGGTTCTTAGGAAATCATTTTCGGTACATAAATCATATCATCTCTTGAAGCCGGCTTTAATTGTTTCCCCAGATGGTTACATAATAGATGTGCATGGGCCATATTTTTCAAATTCTCGTAACAACGATGCAAGAATGTTAACCCACGAATATCAAAATGATCTTGGACAACTTCGAAATTATTTTCAAGAGGGAGACATATTTGTACTTAATCGTGGTTACAGAGATGCTCAAGACATTGGAATTCGAGTTGAAATGCCCGCTCATCTTGGCCGAAGATCTCAGCTAACAACAGCTGAAGCAAATCAGTCTCGGCTTATAACAAAATGTAGGTGGATAGTCGAATCCCGAAATGGACATCTGAAATCAATATTCAAAATATTCAGAGACCAAATTCCTAATACTAGTATTCCACACATTCGCGATTACATCAGGATATCATGTGCTTTAATAAACAAATATCATCCCTCAATTGTTATGGAAGAAGCGACAGAGAATTTGGCCCGTGAAATGTTATTGAAGTCACAACAGCGCAACATATTGCAGGAAAGACTGGAAAGAGAAGGATTACTTCGGAGGCATGGAGTATGGGAACCTCTTACTGAAGATCAGCTCGATTTTCCTATATTACCCATAGAAGAACTTCAACATCTAACTTTCAGAATTTTTCAATTGCGTTTATCCCCATCATACATTCAAGACAATAACGAAAATGATGGAAATCATTGTTTTGAATACGATACGAGATTAAACGATGCTAATTTGTTACGAATATAAGAATGAAATCTCGGCACAGGAATTCTGTTAAGTATCAGCTTTTCATCAACTACGACACAGAAAGGAATTTAATATTGGGATGTTATTGTTCATGTCGATCTGGTGCCAGAGTAGTTGGAATGTGCTGTCACGTTGCTACTGTAGTATGGTTTCTAAGCTATGGTCGCCATCAACCGGTTATTAATTTTCCAAACGGAGATATGTTTAGGAATGTTAGGGATGCTGCAGCAGCAGATGTAAATGATTTGCCAGACATTGTCCACTAACAGTGATGGACAACCCCAACTTACACACTACTTAATTTCTTCAATAATGTATGACTAAGTTGTTTCTAGACTTCACACCGCTGCCGTTACCCCAGACTTCTGTTGATCTGGCGGTCTACTGGCCGAGAGTTACCGGACTTTGATATTACTTTACTTAAGTGACATTTTGTGTGATACCTTATTATATTACATTGATATTTGCTTTTTCGCATTTAAATATTTAGTGATCGGCCTCATTGGCCTCAAGACTGTATCAAGTAGTTTAGTTAAATGCTTTCTGACCTGAAGAATGTAGTTGTTTTAACTTCAATCCGCGTTTGCCTTTCAGATTCAGATTACTGGTTCTAGTAAATTCTCCAGGTCAAAAAAGCCTTAGTTTTAGTGTGTAAAGACCTGGACCTCTTATGTTTTTTTTCTGTTTAACTGATATTTTGTAGCAGCTGGCAAGAAAATATGCTATACCATTTATAACTGTGATTTTTTTATTTCATTGAATATTAAGTCATGCCTGGAATTAATTTCCAAGTCCATGGCATAGCAGCTTTTCAGCCTCTACGGCTCTCTGCTTTTATTGTTGAAGCGTGCAGCATTTGCCATATTCTGCTGTACGGGTGGTCGGTAGGTCTGCTAGGCAATCATAAAGGGGGAATGACCCAAAAATTAAAGTTTTAGTGCAAAAAAATCTAAGAATAAATATTTAAACCGCATGTTGCTACGATGGTCCGTTTTCGAGTTAGGGCCGTTTAAAGTTACAACTAGGGCTTTTGTGACGTCACGCTGGATTATCAGGGACAGTATTAACACGTGTAAAAATCTTCCAAAACAAAAGACAATTATCTCTTAGAGCAAATTGCAACCACTCCTAGTATAGGGTACGGTTCACTGACGACTAAACGAACAGAAGACAGCGATTTCGGCGGTTGTGACATCACAAATTCCTGCATAATTTATCTTCACAAGGAGTTTTCTCGGAAACTATTTTGAATATAGGACTGCGGTTTTCACAAGAGATCTTAGAATTTTTTTCTTGATTTAAGTAGCTTAAGTCGTTTTTTTGGGTCACACCCCCTATAAGGTCCCATTGGCCTTATGACTATATCAAGTAGTTTAGTAAAATACTTTCTGACCTGGGGAATGTTGTTGTTTTAACTTTGATCCGCGTTTGCCTTCCAAATTCGGATTACTGGTTCTAGTGACTTCTCCAGGTCAAAATAGCCTTACTTTTAGTGTGTACAGACCTGGGACCTCTTATGTTTTTTTTCTGTTTTAATAATATTTTGTAGCTGCTGACAAGAAAATATGCTATACCATTTAAAAATGTGTTTTTTTTTTATTTCATAGATTATTAAGTCATACCTAGAATGTATTTCAAAGTCAATGTCGTAGCAGCTTTTCAGCCTCTACGGCTCTCTGCTTTTATTATTGAAGCGAGCAGCATTTGCCATATTCTGCTGCACGGTCCCTATTTCAGGGTGCTGTTCTGGGAAAGCCAAATATTTAAGTTTTTTATATGCATCTAACTGGTAATTATTTCAGAAATGATTAGGCCAAAAAAATTGAAATAGAAACGTACGATACACCCTGTATACAAAATCGTTTAGATGTATTATGTGTGCAAGCATTTATTTATTTAAAAATATTGTTTCATCTTACTCATTTTCATAGAAGCCCCAAGAAATAGTTTGGTTGGCACATAATTTAAATCGACTATTCAACTTTCTAAACACCCTGTATCTCAGAAGCTAATCATAGGATTCATTTGTGCCCATGGACACATTTGATCAGGACCTCAAGAAGAACAACATACCAAATTTTCATCAAATTTGACCGGGCACCAAAATCCCATAAGATGTGTGCGGGGTCCTTTCATAAAAATTGTAGGAGCACATGCACAAGTAGTTATGTTCAACGGTCAACGGTCATATTTTTAAATAGGTGGAAAGTTTAAAAAATTATTTCGAATGTTTTATTGTGGAACATGTCTCATTGTAGAACACTTTCCCCTATTTGAAAAAGAAAATATTATTAGACGTCCAACTGCTCAAGAGAAAGGAGACCACAGCTTACTAAGGCCCAATAATTCTTCATGGTTATTAGTTTCAAATTTGAATCTAATGAAAATATGATTTATTCACTGAAAAAAATAAATGGGTCAATATAAAAAAAAAACGTGAAAAATTCTTTCACTGCAATATTACATTTATTTATGGTTAATACATTAAGAATACATCACAATAAGTTCAAATTTAGAGTCTAACATTAATAACATTACACACATTCCAAAATCAATTTCATTCACCAATAGGAAAAATATACCTTTTTTTTTTTATAAATAAACAAAGCAAATGCCTAAAAGTTTGATTCAAGCATGTACCTAATTGGTATACATACTGACCAGCCATCTGCTTTGCGTATTTTGTAAGATATATGATTAAATAAAATAAATAAAAACTATTCAAAACATGCAACAAACTAATTCTAGAATAATACACCGAGGAATCCGGCAAGGTAGCAGCGGGTCTTAAAAAAAAAACTTTAATCAAAGAGGAGAGGATGCGAGAGCTATGATTTTTTAAACTTTTCACTATTCCCCTTTTTTTCTTCTATCGAAAATGGCATTTTATCAAGCAAAAATAATCTGACGAATAAATAATGCCAAAAATATGTCGTTGCGCGTCATTTCAGTCATTTGTTTATGGAAACCGACGCGACATACGTTTTTGTAATCAACGGACCCCTTTGATTTAGTTTTTTTTTTTTTTTGAAAACCCATTATTTTTTAGCCAAAAAATAAATTTTGCTAGCCTCTAGCCTAACCAGTAACGAAACACAATTACCTATTAGAAGAATTCATACCTGTAATCTCCATTGTAAATTTATCATATTTAGACATAAATTGAACATTTGATTTCAGTTTTGTTAAAGAAAGTAGGTAGGTACGTTGTTCCACAATATAAGTACATTGCAAGTATCTTCAAGCAGAAAATGTATAGAAGACCTTTAAGAAACATTACACCTTTGGAGATTTGGCAACAACTACAGACGGACATTTTGCCACTTTAAAAAGAAGACAAACGTCTATAACCGATTGTATCGGTTTGAATAATGAAATAACTATAATAAACATGGACAAATGCTACTCATAAAATACAAGTTTCTAACAAAGAAAAATGTTTACATAATGTTTTCTTATTTAAAATTAATAAACTGAAGATTAATGCTAAATTGAAAACAAAAATCCTGTTTCTTTGGAGCTGGCTTTAAAACTGTTTCGCGACAAATAATGCAACAAACGCCAACATGAAATATATGGATGCCTTCTGGGAGGAGCTGTTTTCATTAGGCAACTTTGGTATTGCATTAGATTCTGGAAATATAAAAACAAATTTATGAGCATTATATCAATATATTGCAAACTTTCTTATCTGATGATAAATATTTGCCTAATGAAGTCATAAAAACGTTCCAAATAACACAGGATAATGTTAATCTTCAATAAAATACCAGTTTTCAGTATGTTGCTGATAATCCGTTCTCATGTTTTGGAATTGGAAGTGTAACAAGGTAAAGCTTAAATTTTTATATTTTTAATTAAGTCTACCTTATGTTACATTACATTGAAAGTTAGAAAAGTGATTAAACCCAGATTTGACTTCTAAATCTGAGATTTCGTAGAAGCGAGTCGTAAAAGATGGACCAAAGGTCAAGGTGTATTGTTCCAATATTGTGCGTTTATCAGAACCAAACTAAGTACGATTTGCCATTTTGTAATTATTTATTTGATCAGAGAGGTGCTAATAGGAGATGCCACGTATAACTTCAGTTGAAATATGATGCCTAAGAAAAGCCAAGATTTGCAAAATAACCCATAGTTAGTAGCGATAATCCAATGCAAGGATTTGCAATATAAGGACTAGCTGGCATCAGAGTACTTACTCTATGCTGCTTTGAACGATTTATTATAGAACAAATAATAAGATTTACTGTTGAGTTCTGTGGTGAAAAGCGCGAAATTGGAACGGAGCAACCAATTTTCAATCTTTCACCACTGGCCAGTGAGATGTGAATCATATTTCTGATATTACATTTTTTGACTTAAATACTTGGATTTAATTCTTTTTTTTTTCATAAATTGAACGGAAAATAACTTAAAATATCTATTGTAAAAGATGATTAAATACATTTTTCATGATTATAACACTCATCGTGTTAACGTTGTTTATGAAAATTTCCGTTTATTTTCTTGATAAAATATATTTTTATAATAAGGTTTCTTACCAATGTCTTTGCGTGTTGGACTGACCGTACTGGATCTAGGAGACCCGGTAGGCCCAAACTTAGGTCTGGTAGTGGTACTGTGCTCCGCGCAAGAGTAAAGAGGTTTAGTTTTCGTTAGTTTCATTCCATATTTCATCGGATCCATATTTCTTTGGCAGTGTTCCCCAGCTTCTTTGATATTAATTTCGTTATCAGAAATTATGGAGCCCACAAAACATTCAGAAGTACCATCAGCTACATCTTTCCTTTGAGTGTATGTATATAATAAATTTGATTCTTGCCAATGACCCAAGCAGTGGTATTCCCGTTCTTCGTAAAGTTCTTTTGTAGAGCAATCAGAAACTTGATAGTACATTATATCAGGAGCCCTACAGTCTGACCAAAGCTTGGCGCAAAGATCAAGCGCGTCTGGTATACGACCTGTATATTCTCCAGTTATGGGGCATAGTCCATTTTGTGGCTTGGACATATTATCTAGTCCTGAAATCAAAGATTTTGTGTCAAATTAATTATTTCTAAAGAAGGTTATTTATTCAAGAAAGAAAAAAATAGGCTATATATTCACCTATTTTATTCATCTTCATTGTATTGTATGGATTAGTTTTAGATAAAGCCTTTGTTAAACTGCATATATTATTATTACCGATTACAAAAATGTATAAATCTGCCTGTAAAAATGCTGATTGATTTACGAAAAAGAAAAGTTCGCCATTTTATCCAGAAAACACACAAAGGCCTGCTCGCGTTATCACTTTATTTTCTAAAGGTCTTAGTGTGATGTTAAATAACGTTTCTCAAAAATTGGACTATCAAATGCAACAAGACATTTCCAAATTCGACTGGTAGTGAACCAATAGAGGAGTAAGTAATTTTCAATAATCCATACCAAAATTTAACAAAGATATACCGGTATGAAAAGTTATCATCAAACAAACATATAGGCAAACGCAATCAAACACTTTTCAATATCTGAGTTTTAACGCTATAAAACAGGGGATATTTTTGATGAACTCTGATACCAATTTCCCTAGCTTTATTGAGACGAGTTGATTGATTACTTATACCATAGGCATTTATACATATTGACTATACGTTTATTTCATGTGTTGTATCCGAATACTAAGTGGATTGGATTAATAATGGGGATTAATAATCCTGATATAAACACCCAGGATTAAAGAGTTCATCCGGATCGGAGTACTTAATTCAATCCTCCAAATTTGTAGGATTGGATTTAAAATGGATTATCTCAAATGTGAAATGAACACCTTAATCTTGGCTTTAGGAAGTTTGTTGCTATCTTCAAGAAAAAATCACATTTGTCATTTGTAATTTTTTTGAGGATTGATGTTAGGTATTTGGTTTTAGTTGGATATTTTTTTATGAAAAACCGTTGTGAGAAAAAAAAATATTTACCTTTTAATTGCTAATTAAAACTATTTTTCATCATTGTTGCTTTTAATGAAGTTAGACACAAATGACAAGGCTTAAGAAAGGATTAACATTATTCCTAATCCATTCAATAGTTGTGAAATAAACGAATATGGAATAATCATCCTTAATCCACTTAGTATCCGGATACAACGTGTGAAATAAATGAAATCAATATTAAAGTAACTGAAATGCTGAAAAATACTTACGGCCCTGTGTAACCCAGGAATATTCATCAAAATTTTCTTCTGCACACAAAGTGTATGGATCCTTGCTTTGGCTAGAATTTATTCCTAGTTGGAATTCCAGAATATTCTTGCTTCTGCTAGCTATCTTCATACAATTGAACGACTCCTCGTTACTAAAATAGTTTTATTTTATTCACTCCATTATAAACAATAGTAAAGGATTCCTACCATTGAGTCCTACTGAATATAAAATATTTATCTCCATCTTCACGAGCTCCAGCACATTTGATGGTATACGTTTTGAATGAACTATGATCCTTGTAAACCATAGTATCGCCTTCAACTCTAACATATTCCCAATAACCAAACATCCATTTGGGAAAACTGCAAATTCCGAAACTGACTTCTGGAGGCCAGGGATTTTCAGTTTTTGGAGCCAAAATGAATGTTTCGAATCCACTTGTCGCATTATAGAGGTCTGAGGTGCAAGTGGAGTCTCTGCTTACTGCCATCTCTATTTTACCAGTTACTTTGTCTTGTTTGTAAAGCTAAAATTAGTATATTTTATATTACAAAAGGTAAGCATGAACGAAGTAGTGGTAGAAGAACACAATGACAATGTTAAGGTTAGTTAGGAAACTGAATGCAAAAAAGTGTAAAATAAAGGCGTGAGAAATTTATTTAATTTGAAATAACTAAATCTAATGAACAATGAACGAGAAAACGGTGTCAGCGGTATCAGCGTCTATAAATATTTTAATTAAAAATATCCATCAAATTCATAAGTAGTTTCAATTGAAAAAAATTCTGAAATTGGTCCAAACAAAACGACTTTTTTGAGATAGCAAATAATGTTACAATACAGAAATTTATCTTCCGAGGAAAGTTGAAACACGTGTACGTTTTATACTTTAGTAACAAATATGTCTGCTCGTTTAACCCAATAATGAAACTCTCATGATGGCTATGAAAGTCAGAGTAGCTCAGTGGCACATGTCTAAATTAGACCACTCTATACCTATGTCAATAAATATGAATGTTCTACTTACAGCACATCTGTATTTAGGTTTCTGTCCCTCCAAATGTCTGCTATCAGTAAAAACCAAGTAAGTTTCCAAGCCTGATCCTCTCCAATGTCCCAAACAATCAAATCTCAAATCTGAAATTTTTTTATTTTTATTTTCAAGGTAAGTATATTTTCACAGCAAAATTTTCTACTGAAAGCAAATTTCTCTTTTCACTTACCATAACTATCAAAAGTACAGCTGCGCAATCTAATATTGAGGGTTGAGCCAGAAGGGCACGAATCCACTGTCGAATTAAAGCCTATACATTCGTGTGGTCTCAAAGGATTTTTCCCTCTATAATTTGTATAATACTTTCCATCTATAGGACAATATTGTTTCTGTGTAGAGATACCTTGGTCATCTTTCGTTTCTAAAAAGGGAAAAAATATATCTGTATCAACAGGTTTGTATCAATTAAATTACAAATCAATTCTCGTCAATTTATTGAATTACATGAATCAATAAATTATTTAGAACTTAAATATATTTATGCCTGCATTCGGAAATGCATGCATTTTTGCTTTGTATTTCCTTTATTAAATGATCCGATTTATCATTTATTATTAGTTATCTGATTTACTTCTTGATTTTATTATTTTTATGTTAATCAGGTACCTATAGGTATGTAGGTACCTATCTATTATTTATATTAAAAAACTGTTGCTGACGGTTTTATCTGCTTCCTTCGTTGCTATTATAAATTATTACATGCCATTAATATTATATGAATAATGATATTTTAGGTTTTTTTCTGGGTTTTTCAAATATCAAATGAATGTTTCTTGTATTATTTTTTTTTGTAGTAGTTCGTAGGAAACCTGCAGATAATACCATTAAAAGTTCCTATGGCTATAAGCCTTGCCAGTATTCATGTTTTTTGAACTACATAGGTAGCTAGATATACCTACAGATATATAAAAAAATATATTATATGTACAGGGTGTCCCAAATTCGAGGGCCAACATGGGGATATCGGTAACCGTTAGACATACGAGGGTGGTTGAATTAGACAAAAGTTGTGCATTTTGATGCTTAACACTATGTCGTTTTAAAATTTGAGAAATTCCTAATACTTTCGGAAACATCATCCGGAAAATTGCGATTCTGGTTTTTATTTTTTCTAGGCTTTATTTTAAGAGATCGAGAAAAATTAAGATGACTTTCTTGGAGCACTTTTGGGTGGACTTTACTGTGGTAATATTATTTGAGAAATTCGACGTTTCGGTTTTGAAACGCCATCATCAACCTAATTTTTTGTTATACGGACCTGGATATTTTTTCACATAATTTGTTCGATTTTGACATTCTAAAATACTTCATATATAACGCGTTTTGAAATTCCGACGTTTCGGCCGAAAATATCCATTCTCAGACAAAACTATTACTATAATTTTTGAATGCGATTCCGAGTTCCAATTCGCATCGTCAATTTAAGTTAAAAGACGTGATATAATCTAATTTCTTGATTTTTGGCAGAGTTTTTGTAATTTTAAAATCGATTCTCAATTACTTCAGCTAGAATGGAGTAAACTTCTCTTATTAAGTTTTGTCTCAAGACAATATCGTTTGGCGTATTTCTATATAGGTAATCAATTTTTAAGTAATCACACAGAAAATAGTATGAAGGGTTCAAATCCAGACTGCGTGCAGGCTAACGAGCTATCACCTTAACTGTTGCATGACTCGTACAGCTTCATACAGACTTGAACATTACGCCGAACAACAAACAGAACAACGAACCGAAAAACATCCGCACAACGATCGAAACACTAATTTGAACGGGGCTACGAACGGCCAAAATTTGCGAACGCGTTCGTAGCCCCGTCCAAATTAGTGTTTCGATCGTCCACACATTAAAAGATTCTTTACCATGAGGGCGCACTTGTTGGTTTTGTCTTGGACTTTGAAGGGACCAAAAATGGTCGTTATGTTGATTAAACTAAACCGTCCAGTTGTTAAAAAATTGCACCCGCACAAGAAACAAAAAATCAAGAAAACTCGGGGCGCGTGAAACACACTTGACACGTGACCAAGTTAGTCCGACTACTTCGCTTCAGGGACGTCTTTTTGAATACCTTCCTTGAATAACTACTAGTCTCTAGCCCATTAGATGTTAAATTGTTGTTGATTTGTTTTCGCTTGTTTATTATTTGTTGAGATTTTTCTCTTGATACAAGAAATTAGATTTTATCACGTATTTCAACTAAAATTTGCATGCGCATTAAAACTCGGAATCATATTCAAAAATTATAGTAATCATTTTGTTTGAGGATGAATATTTTCGGTCAAAGCTTCGGAATTTGAAAACGTGTTGTTTCTGGCGTATTTCAGAATGTCAGAACAGAACAAATTATGTGAAAAAAGATCCAGGTCCGTATTAAAAAAAATTATGTTGATGATGGCATTGGAAAACCGAAACCTCGAATTTCTAAAATAATATCACCACAGTAAAGTCCACCCAAAACTGCTCCAAGAAAGTTATCTTAATTTTTCTCGATCTCTTAAAATAAAGCCTGGAAAAAAATAAAAACTAGAATCGCAATTTCCGGAATTTTCCGGATATTTCCGGAAGTATTAGGAATTTCTCAAATTTTAAAACGGCATTTTGTTAAGCATCAAAATGCGCAACTTTTGTCTAATTTAACTATCCTCGTATTTCTAACGGTTACCGATATCCCCACGTTGGCCCTCAAATTTGGGACACCCTGTACATACATTGCTGTTTACCAATAATAATTAAAAATTATGTACGTAAGTATTGGCTATGCAACTAGCAGCATCGGATTTCAATGTCACTGGCCAACCTTAAAAGGTCACACCCGTTAGTGAAATCTTATTAATCAGTTGACAAAGTGCCTATCGAATATTTTAAACTCGGCGTCGAGTTCGAAGCTCTGCCCCAAGTGCAGGTAGAAAATTAAAAGTGTATCGTCAATAAAAAAAAGCCCGTGGGGACTAAACAGCAATAAAATTTATTTGATTGCTTCTCCAGAGAAGTTAATTAGGGACAACGAAAAGCGACTGCTAATTACAAGATGTTAATGCCTATTGTTTAAAATATACTGCTATGTTTATGTAAATGACTTACTGAACAATAATATTTCCGTCGTTTCACCACGTGTTTGGAGGGATTTTTTCGAAGGGCAATTTAATTCCGCCAAGACTTCATTAATAAAACATTTGGATATTGTTTCCTGACTTGAAGCGAACACTTGTAGGACGTTCGGGGAGCGTAGTTTCAAGTGCAGGCACGTGAAGCAGGACGTGTCAGTGTAGCTGAAAAAGAAAAATTGTACTATGTATTTTAGAAGTTTTCGTGAAGATTGAATTAGGTTACTTTAGGTACCAAACCTATGATGTTTGTTTATATCTACATTTTGTGTACATTTTTGTTTGACTTGGGATCATGAATTGCTGATATATTGGAACAATTTATAGAGTAGCTTCCTGAACACGTAGGTACCCTTTCAAGTAGGTACCAGTACAAATAATTATTTTTATTTCTCCTGTTAACACCCTAAACATCGTAATAGGCGGGTGTGACATGTTATGTTGGAATTATGTCTCACCTCACTCGAAGAAGACATTGCATAAGCATATTGTCCACTGTACAGCGACGGTAAAGGGAGTACATCCTCGAGGTCTTAAACTTTTTGAAGATAAAGGTTGCAATCCTTGTTGTATGTCAAGTTCGGAACAATCCCGATGGCTATTTATGTCATAGAGTCGTTGGTTTCATGTTGCACATAAATCGTATATATTAGCTTTGTGACAATTTTCTCAGAATGAGGATCCCACAGCAATCATAATAGCATCATTAGAAACTTTATCTCGAATACATAACGTTTTTGAGTTCCCTTATAAATGAAACGACTTCGTGGGTCCAACATAAGCGTATCTCATAAATATCTCTATTTAGCTATTTATTATACCATTATGAGCGCTCTATTAACGAAATCAAAGTTTCACACGCCATATGATCCCATTTTTAATTAATATCGCGTAAGCGTAAGCGGGCTGTGTTTGATGACTGGTCCTCGATAAGGAGCTCGATAGCTCAATTTAACAGTATTACAAGCTATAGGTTGTGGTTGTCAAACAAGATTACCAGTTGCACTGCCATACTTTGAACATACTCAGTACAACAAACTTGGATGATTTTATTTCAAAATCAAATCTGAATGGAACCACCCATTGGACTACCCATACAGCACTATAGACATCAAAAATATACGAAGACATTTCGATCACGTGGAAGCTTGTCTTAATAAGTACCAATATTCAATATATAGCATTTCAAGTAAAACAACAGCGCTGAACCTGAACAACAAAAGCGCTAGTGCATCTTTCGTTTATATCAGCCAGACCATAAGGGACATAGATTCTGCTTTGTTTCAAATTCAGATGTAAGAAATGTAAATGTCTTAACAAACACTTTAGGGATGGGCGAATTGAAATTAGATCACGGAATTTCTTCTTCCTAGCCGTTCTCTATCCTCTGGATATAGGCCTCTCTCAGGTTTTGCCAGGTATTTCTATTCTGTGCGACCTGGTACCAGTTTAGTCCTGCTCTTCGCTTGATGTTGTCGTACCAGCGTTGTTGGGGGCTGCCGACGCTTCTTCGTTCCCCCAGGGTCTCCATCTTGTTACTTTTCCGCTCCAGTTGTTGCTTGTGTTTCTCGCTACGTGGCAGACCCAGTTCCATTTGAGGGTGTATGTTGTGTAAGGGTCATATGTGTAATGTCTTCGACCTTTGTTGTGCTTCTTATCCACTCTTTGGTCTTGTCGAAGGTCTTGTGATCCCTTAGCGTAATACCTATCATTCTCCTTTCGATTGCTCTCTGATGTACTTGCAGCTTATTTAGGATTTTCTTTGTGAGCGTCCATGTTTCGTTTCCATATGCAACTACTGTCAGATTACATTCGTCGTAGACTTTAGTTTCTAGCTTCAACGGTAACTTGGACTGGAATAAGTGGCGCATTTTACCATATATACGCCGCCCATCTCAGTCGTATTATCCTATTGATTTCGAGCTCTTGATTGACTTTGCCAAGTGTTATTTCCTGTCCTAGATACTTGTAGAAGTTTACTTTTTTCACCTGTTGGTGTTCTATGGATATTGTGTCCCTATCTGTTTGCTCATAAATTCTGTTTTTGATACGTTCATTTCTAATCCGATCTTTTTGGCTTCTTGGAATAATTCTTCTAGCATGATTCCTAAGTATGTTTCGTTCAGGGCGGTTATCAGCAAATCTTATATTATTGAGGTTTCCTCCAGATATAATGATCCCTCTATTTTCCCAATGTAATTCCTTGAGCACATCTTCGAAGATTAGGGTGAACAGCTTAGGTGATATTATATCGCCTAGTCTTACCCCTTTTTCAATCTTCACTTCGTTTATATCTTCATGCATTCTTAATTTCATTTTTGCTGCTTCTTGAATATTTTTGATTATGTTTATATATGGCTCATCTATTCATGCATTTCTCATAGCTCTTTCCATCGCCTAGAATTCGACAATGTCGAAGGCTTTCCTAAAATCGATGAATGCTAGCCATGTTGTAATGTTATATTAGATCGTCTTTTCATTTAGTATTCTTATTCTGTGAAGATGTTCTATAGTGCTGTAGCTCTTTCTATAGCCTGCTTGTTCTTTAGGTTGGTCATCATCGAATTTCGTTTCTAGGCGGTGATTATTCTTAGAAATAGTTTGAGACAGGAGGCTTATGGGTCTATAGTTTTCAAGATTTGATGGGTCTCCTTTTTGGTATATCAGAACGATGGTGGCAGTCTCCCAGTCGTGTGGTATTTAGTCCTCTGTTAGACATTTATTGAAAGGTGTTTACAGTTGTTTTACAAGGTGTTTTCCTGCCTCCTTCAGCATTTTTGGTATTATATCGTCCATTCCTGGAGCTTTTCCGTTGTTTAATTGGCTTAGCGCATTTGGACTTTCTTCCTCTTCTATATCAGGGATCTCTTCTGATTACCCAACATTTAGAATTTTGGATGTTTCTTGTTTGTTATTTTCGTTGTTGCTTTTTGCGTCGTATAGTTTCTTATAGAAATTTTCGGCCACACGTAATAGTCCATCTCTGTCTTCTATAATGTTTCCTTGTTGGTCCATCGGTTTTGTAATTTCTCTTTTGCGTGCGTTCTCCCGTTTGAGAACTTTAAGGCCTTTTTTTTACTTTATCAGATTTTCGATTTGCGCTTTTTCGTAGTTTTAATGGCCGTTTGCACCGACAATTTTAAGGGAGGTTCAGGGATAATAAACGCTTAAGTGACATTTTTACATGGAAAGAATGTCACTTTAGGCGTTGATTGTTTTTAAACCTCCCTTGAAATGGTCGGAGCAACGGCAATTAATATCTTGTTTTGTCATCCTTCTGGCTAGTCTCTCTTTATTCTGATGTATCCTTTTTCCCTTGTTTTTTGAGTTCTCTTCTCTTCTCCAGCATTTGTTTTGTTTCTTTGCTAAATTTTTCTGGCCTACTTTTCCGTGTCTTGTTATGTCTTCATGGGGTTTTATGGGGGCTTTCTCCAGTTTTTGTGTTAATTTTGTTGCGAATTCTATTTTTTGTGTTTTACTGGTATGTGTGCTTAATTTATTTTGGGGGCGGTTGAATTTCTTTGCTCTTTCTAATCTGCCATTTGGGGCTGTTTTACATCTTACCATTCTATGATCGCTGCGAGTCGTGAAGGAGCCTAAGACGTCGGCATCTTGGATTAGGTATGTGATTTTGGTGTGTCAGTATAAAGTCTATTCTGTTTTTTGTCTTTCTATCTAGGCTTGCCCATGTCCATTTTTTGTTAGGTCTTTTTTTGGAGAATGTGTCCATCGCAGAGAGTTGCTCTCTTTCTAAGAAGTTGATAAGCATGTTGCCTCTTCCATTTCTTGTACCATGTCCGAATTAGCCAATGTAACATGAGTCAGTGTCATCTTGGCCTATTTTTGCATTCAAATCTCTCATAACTAGTGTGTACTTTGTTTTGTTCTCGTGCAGACCCTGTGTAACCTCTTCATAAAGTTCCTCTGCCTCTAGGTCCTCGTGGTCGGTTGTTGGTGCGTAGGTTTGGATGACACCTCTAACATTTCTTCATTTTTCAAGGTCCATTGTATGTTCCGATGTATAGTTGGCAGCCTGGTCCACCCCAGGGATGCTTAGCACCCTTTGTTTGGTCGCTGGTCTGTTCGCTGCCTTGGTCAGAGCTAACCGAACTGCTGGAGACTGAGGGCCCTTTTTTTGTCTCTCTGTCATTTGGGAGGGGTTACATCCGCGGGAGGTATTTCATTTCCCTCCGACCACCCACATCTGGGAGGGATTCCCTATCTGTCACCTAGGGACGCGCTCTCTAGGGGTTATCCCTCGGGATTACGAGGACACTAGAGTCCGGAATAGAAATTGGACGTCGTCCCACGTAACAGAATGTCAGTAGCCGACGTTATTCCCTCGCCGGTTTTTTTCGGAGTAAAAAATGGTTTGATGTCACTATCTTCTAATTATTGATCACTTCTTAGGTGTTCAGAGCTGCGACACAGCCCTGATCTTTGGGTCGGAAACATTTATTACCTGTCACTTGTCGTAACGGCTGCGGGTGGGAAATCAATTTATGGTGGACCATCCTACTCATATTTTCCTTTTTTTTTTTCTCAAAATTTAAAATCATCTGCTGTATTACATTGTATTTTTGTTCCACTTACTTGTGTCATTTGGGAAAAATACTCGATGGTTTGGTTATGAGCTGCATTCTCTGTACATCTATATTATCTGTAGTTCCATTGATGAATTTTTCGACCGCTAGTTGTTTTTAATTTTATTCTGTCTGATGAACACTATCCATTTCTTGACGAAAAGCCAGCCAGGCCTGTCTTCTTGTCTTAGGGCCATTTCATTTTGTCTTCGATATTTTCCAGCAATATTTGAATAACTTTCTCCATTTCGGCTGTTCGATGTTTATCATAGAATAGTGAATATTTTTTAAAACTTAAATATAATGTCTGGTGACGAAGACGGAATTTCTGTACCTTGTCTAATTCTCAAATAAAATACAAATAGAATGTTCTCGAAAAATCACTCTGTTGATATCTGATATGTTTTTCGATGTAACAACCAGTAATAAAGTCACTATTTCAATTCAACAAACGTTCACTTATTGTTTCCACTTTTTGGCTCAGACCAATCTAATGATTATAGATATCCCGCTGATTATACCCCAGCTCAAACTAATCTTCTAAGTTAGATCGCCGACTATTTCATTTAGAAAAAACTACTATAGCTTGCTTTGTCGGAAGATTTATTGCCACTTGTCTTTCTAAATTATGCTTACTAAGTACTTATACTTTCTTGAGTTTGTATGATATCTTCATTTTCCTGAGTGACGTTTCCGATTGGTTTTACCGGTTTTACTATCTTTCCGAATTTGATTTTTTCAAGGGTTGTTTTGTCTTTTAGCATTGATTTTGTCTTTTATAGGTAATCTACATTTACAACTTTTATTATTCAAGTAATATAGGCTGGCAATTATTAAAACTTTGACATCCTGTATCTCAATTCCCACAAGGAAATTAGTACAATTAAGTGTGTAGAAAGACTTTTATTGTTAAAATGCGCTCAAAAATCAATTTTTGTATGTTTGATAATCAAAAAAAAATTGTAATTTTGCTCTAAAAATACTGAAATTTAATCAATAATTTCTCTACACACCTATACGCATATGGGCGAGGTAACTTACTTGAACATGAGTATAACGTTATTATCATTTCTTTTATGACAATTTCCCCAGATCGATATGGAATTTGGAGTGATTGTCAACAGGCTGTATTGTATTCCACCTCCGACATTCGCTGAATTTTGCATCACATATTCTCCTTGAAATTGCTGGGAAAAATAGCAGGATCCCTCAATGAAAGGACCTGAAATAAAATTAAAAAAATTTTCCATCATAATAATAATTGAAAAGATATAGGTGGGTAACTACCTATTGGGGACAAATATCAACTACCTACTACAATAATTTGCCTCCAAACTAAATGTTCATCCAAATATAATTAGTAATTGGTCATTTCCCCATGTGAAATATGATGATTCAGAAATGATACCTATGAATTATCTTAAAATAGAACAGATTGAATTTCAACCAAGCATATTCACGATTACCTACTATAAGAGCTTTATATGAATATACATATAAATCCGAAAACAAAAGTATCAACTCATTCTGATAAATATTCCCATAGGAGCGGCTTGGACCCGCTAACTTGTCCGCCTCTGCAAATGCACATTCCTTAATAAAAAAAAATCTTGAGGTCTAGGGCATTACTCGACCAGCTATTGTTAAGACTTTTTATGACGCCGCGGCTTTCGCCACGCCCTTTAGAGTGCTTTAGATCTGAAATGTTTTACAGCATCGCTTCTACCTACATTAATGTAGGCTCAACAAAGAATACCATTTTATTAGCCTGGGCGCGACAGGTTAACTTATTTAGTGGGGCTGTAATAAATAATACTGACAGGTGACATAAAATGTCTAGCCTTTCAAACTCCTACAACAAAAAGACGAATGCCTTCTTCTGCAGAAATCATCCAGCTCTGGGTTTCAACATCATTAAAGTCTTTTTGACCGCTTGTAAAATTTATCAGGTTTCGAATTGCATTCTAAATACCTACTGCCGAGAATCGGAAGTTTAGAGGGGTTTGGAAAATATGCAAAGCGGGATAAAGACGTTTATAGCTTTGACCCAATAACAATAATTTATGGTCAATAATTTTGCCCTTGCCAAGGTTACGTTTGGTGCAATAAATAGTTTTTCTTCAGTTCAAAAATGTTAACAGTTAATATTTTTGGCGGATTTTCACGCCACAAAAATCAATATTCCATTATTTTCAATTCATTCGTTCTCTTACCTCTAACTTTGCTCATTTAAGCTCTTTCTTTTTCTTAAAAGAAAGTGAGTCAACTAATTTTTCTTCATAAAAGCTACCTTGTTTCCCATCAACCGAAGAGTAGGCATTCCAATGCGCCCCATTCTCAACTCATCATACAAATAAAAAAATCTTGACCACAGAATACCGAAGAAAAAATTGGCCTCAAAGTTCCAAAGTCGAAGTGAGGGTTTTTAAAAAAAGCACGGTAATGTGCGGGAACAAGTTAAGCTCTGTCGATCATACAGGTCGCTGACTTGTGAAAACACCAGCCAACCATATCAGCGAATCGTCGGATTTCATTCCTACTATTATTAAAGAAAAATATGAGTATTTCTTGACTCACATTTTACATTCATAGAAGTGCTATGAGGAACCAAGCATTTACAATGTCATGTTTAATGCGCTTGTGTTGCAATACGAAACAAGCAAACAAGTCAAATTAGGTTGGACAAGGCACTAAATGTACGACCTAACGTGTGAATTTATAAGAACATACGGGGTCTAACAATAATTCTTGGATTATTTTGAAAAATAGCGGCGAAAGTCATTTACGTATTGTTGTATTGTAGGTATATCAATAGTCTTTTTAATTGTGATTATAGAAGCCAAACCTTTTATCTGAATAAAGTACAGCAATAATACTAAACAGTATAAGTACCTATATAAGAAATGTATTGTTTAAGAAATCATTTTGATCCGTATCTCTTTAGGTATATAAACATTATTCAAATAGTTAATATCCGGTCTGCTATGGTTTTTTGAACGTTTGTCTTAGCAATATTTTTCTTTAATTTTGTCAAATGTCATGTCAAAAATCCTGACCAATAAAGAAACAATAATGCGACTTACGTTTTCGTAATCAAAGCAATCTTCGATTGTTTTTTTTTTTGAAGACCCGATAGAATTAAATTAATGGTAATTGTGTATGAATGCTTAATGCATAATATGCCTAATATGCCTAATTGCTATGTAAACAATGCGCGAATTTATCAAAAACAAACTCAATAGTCTAGGAAAATTGTCGATTTTCAAAAAAAAAATTCCTACCCAAATGAACTTTTCAGGGATGATAGGGGGCGGGTGGGTGATCATAAAACCGAAAATATCAAACATTCACCCCTCTGGCGTTTTGCGCTATAGGGGTTGAAAGTGCGCCATTGGCGATTACTTGGTACCTATTGAGTTTACAAAAAAATGTTTCAAATAAAAGATGTGCAACATTATTTGATCTACAATGTTTATCTAAAGACTTTTTTGATTAAGGGCCGTCTGTGGTCATAAGGGCCGTTTGAAATTTTATAATGAAAATGAAAAATTGTGACCAACGTGAAAAAAATTTCTATAACACATACAACATTTTTGCTTTATGAAGTTTTTACTCACCCCCTGCCGTTTTTCAATAGGGGTAGTTTAAAGTTTTTTTATTTTTCTACAAAAAAATTTTCTTAATAAAATAATTATAAGATTACATTTCCTACAATTTTTCCCCATAAACTTTATTTATAAGTCACCCCCATTCAGCGGGGGGATACTTTCCTTAGGAAAATTTTAGTTTTTAGGGGTATGTATATTATTTTTTTTTTCTTTTCTCGCCTTTAGTGTATATAAAAAGTTGCAATTAACATTGTATTGAAAGGATTTTTTTTCCCACCACCTTTTTGTTTTTAGGGGTAGTTCGCCTATTTTCAACTTTAGAAAAAAAAATTTATTAAGAAAAGGTGCTCAAAATAATAAAATGAACAAGTATTCTTAATAAATTTTTTTTGTAAAGTTGAAAATAGGCGAACTACCCCTAAAAACAAAAAGGTGGTGGGAAAAAAAATCCTTTCAATACAATGTTAATTGCAACTTTTTATATACACTAAAGGCAAGAAAAGAAAAAAAAAATTAATATATACCCCTAAAAACTAAAATTTTCCTAAGGGAAGTGTCCCCTCGCTGAATGGGGGTGAGTTATAAAAAAATGGGGAAAAATTGTAGGAAATATAATCTTATAAAACTTTTATTAAGAAAATTTTTTTGTAGAAAAATAAAAAAACTTTAAACTACCCCTATTGAAAAACGGCAGGGGGTGAGTAAAAACTTCATAAAGCAAAAATGTTGTATGTGTTGTAGAAAATTTTTTCACGTTGGTTACAATTTTTTATTTTCATTATAAAATTTCAAACGGCCCTTATGACCACAGACGGCCCTTAATCAAAAAAGTCTTCAGATAAACATTGTAGATCAAATAATGTTGCACATCTTTTATTTGAAACATTTTCTTGTAAAATCAATAGGTACCAAGTAATCGCCAATGGCGCACTTTCAACCCCTATAGCGCAAAACGTCAGAGGGGTGAATGTTTGATATTTTCGTTTTTATGATCACCCACCCGCCCCCTATCATCCCTGAAAAGTTCATTTGGGTAGGATTTTTTTTTTTTGCAATGCATGTATTTTTCGCCTATTTTCCTAGATTACAAGAAGGTACACTTGTAGACGCGTGAATGCATTTTTAAAAATATTAATAGATTCGGTAATTTTTTATTTTTTTGGATTGCAACTCGCAAATTGGCACTTCAATTAAGACAATAATGAGAGCAGCTACTCACGCATTTATCTTTCCCATTTTTGCATCTTCGATCTTGTAGGTAAATTGAAAATGTAAACTTTTTACCGTAATGTCATTTTAAATGTTCAGCAGGTGAACAAAATCTACTAACCCATTGTTTTGTGTTACATGCAATAACGATAATATATATACCTAAGCCAAAATCCACAAAATCCAAACACAAAAAATGAACAAGAAGTATGATGCTCTTCCACAAAAATACAATTGGCAGTTGGAAGTAAATAGGAAATTGCAAAGTGAAATTATCACAGCCTTTTAACATTTAGGAACAATGAAGTTTCAAAAAATAATACAATTATACAAAGAGTTCCAAGAACCTCTATGCCGCCTGGTACTCTGGTACCCCGACTTCCTACGGAGTGTTCATCCAAACGTTGATTGAGGAAATGCAATTGACAATATCGCACTACCAACATACGATGGCAAGAGTATAGTAGTCGATTTATGCCGGTCCAATAACCTCAATGAACCAGGCGCAAATTCAGAACGGCCCTCAGTCCCTAGCAGGTCGATGGTCCTTTGTTGAGGTAGCAACCTGAAACAGGGTGCAAATCGTTACCAGGTAAGATCAGGCTACGATGGATAACGAACCCTGCACCTAGCCACTAACAATATCACCTTCCATTCGAGTGAAGGATGATTGAGGTTGCATTGTAATACATCAAATGAAATACATATATAAGAACTGAGTGAGGTCCGTAGAAGAAAAAAGCACGATATGAACTTGCAGTCAGGACACGTCTTTCACTATATCGGGGAACAAGATAACTCTATGGGTAGAGTGGGGTGGTTTATAGCAGCCTTAGTCCTACACATGCATAATATGCACCCACACCAACCACAAGGACGAAGAGGTGGAGATTCTATTCGAAGATATCTCAAGGGCTATACTCAACAACACAAAACTCAGCATATTATGATCTTCGGGAGACTTCAATGTAGAGTGTTTTTCAAAAGCTTATAAGGACAAATTTATATTAATCATCAACCCAGCCAAATAAGTTCTGCAAGAACTTGGAGAGGCTCTGTGACGTTAGAACATAAAGTTTTGTTAGGCAAGGTACAGTTTGTTTCAATTTTGTCAGCCCATATATAATGGCAACAACTTTAAATACTAATATTTAGATAGGTAGGTATCCAATATTGTTTCCTAATTATTCATTATTGAAAAAAAGTGCGTACTCTGTGGCGCCTTATTCTGCGAACGGATGTTCTAACATGTCTCTTAGTTTTTAACAAGCATTGCTATCAATATATGCAAACACCATACCCCTGTAAGCAATTAATATTTTAAATTCAGTAATTTACATTTTACTTCACTTAAATCATCATTATTTTGTTAGTTTATTTTTAATCCTTGCTCGACCATCACTTT